AGAATCAAATTAAATTTTAATAAAGTTAGAGACATGGTCTCACCATTAATATTCAAAAAAAAAAAAAAAAAAAAAATTAAATAATAAGAATTAATATACAATATATAATAATATTAGTTGTTATATAGAAAAAAATAGTTACTTATTTGTAAATAATTATTATAATCTATTATATTTAAAATTAAATATATAGTAATAATTAATATATAATATATAATAATGTTAGTCATTATATACAAAAAAAATAAATATATACTTATTTGTAATTTTTTATATATATATTATTATTATTACAATTTATTGTATTTAAATTTATAAATATAGTAAGAATTAATATATAATATATAATAATACTTAGTTGTTATAGAAAAAAATTGTATATTTATTTGTATTTTGTCTATATACATATTAAATCTATTGTATTTAAAAATCATATAATAAAATTAATAAATGACAATGCAAAATAAATAAGTAAAAGTATATTTATTATATGGGTTTTATATAACAATCTATACTTATTTATAATAGTTATTTGCACAGATCTATATGAAAATTATATAATTTTTATATAGATCTGTATAATTAGTTTTTTAAACTATATATATATAAAAATCAGAAATTTTTAAAATTGGCATATTTTTAAGCAAAGCATTTTATTTATTATATCTTATAAAAAATGATTATATAATAAAATTTTCTATAATATTTTGACCAGAAACCTTTTACAAATATTATATTTATTTAATTTTCAAATTTAAGGTTTAATATAAACATTAAAGGTTTTTCTGTTAAAAAAATTTAAAATATAATATTTTGCATGATAGGGTTAAGAACTTGTTTTGTTATTTGATTTGAATAACCTTGCTGCTGCACAGAAGAAATATAATTTGAATAAACTTGTTGCTGGGTGAAAAATCATAATTTGAATAAACTTGCTACTGAGCAAAGAAAGTATGATTCAGATAAACTTGTTAAGTTGATGAAGGGATATTAGTTTGACAATTTATTTGTTGATTCTTTGGTTTTAAATAAGAAGATTTAAATAGTGCATAGATTGATGATTTAAATAGTTTTAGTCTTTTTTGAGAATGATTATATTCTTTAATTTTATAAATAGTAGTAAGTAAATAATAAAATATAAGCAAATTTTTTTTAAATTTGTATCTTTATATCTATTTATATTATTAGTATTTACTATTATAATATTTTTATCATTATTCTTATCATCATTTTCACTACTATTCTCATCATCAATTCTAATTTCATTATCATCATCATCCTCATCTTTTTCTGATTCATACCTCACTCAGATAAAATAAAATTCTTCAAAATTATCATCAATTGTTGCATTTGGAATTAATATTGTAGTAAAATTTAATTGTTGATCATCAGTAGGCTTGCTATATGATCTGATGCTTTCATGAGATCTATGTTTTAAAAAATTCATCAACTCATTTTAGATATATCTGCTACTTTAAGAATCATAATCACATTACAGCATATACTGTGGTTAGTAATTTTACAATTATCAAACTTGATACCAGTTTTTAATACAATTTGGTACACTATTTTCTTAAGCTTATTTTCACTCATTTGTGATAATCAGTACCAAATTTTCTTATTAATACTAGCTTTTTTATATACACAGTCTAAAAACAATATATCTATAGTTTAATATTCTTTAGATCATTTGGATAAATATAATAATATATTACTAACTGGTTTAAACTTGTTTTGACTATTATCAAGTAAAATTGGAATAGTTCTGGTAGCTGTATATCTATAATATTGATAGTAAAAAATACTATTTTGATTGTTTTTCATTTTTCTAAATCTTAATTGCAACCTATTATTCTGATGTCATTCAATATCTCAGTATTATAAGCTGTACATATTCTCTTCTTTAAGTCCACATAATAAATACAACCAGAAAAATACATACTGAATTAAACTTTTATTATTATTGGTAGATAAAAAATTATAGTTTAGACAAAAAGCAATCTTATCAAAAGTTAGTACACTACTTTGGTCTGTATTTCTATATCCATCATCCTGTAAAGTAGTGTTTCTATAAACTGAACTGAACTGAACTTTTGGCCAAGTTCAAGTTCAGTTTAAAATTAAACGAACTTGAACTTGAACTTTTTTTAAAAAAGTTCAGTTCAGGTTCAATATTAAATTTTTAGGTCAAGTTCAGATTCAGTTCAGGTTCAGTTCAAAAGTTCATGAACATGTTCAAGTTCAATAAATTATATATATACAATATATATATATATATTATATATTGTCAAAAATAATTCACTTCCAATAATAAGCTATTTTCTTTTTTTAGAAGAAAACATAAAAATTTTTTAGATCTAAAAATAAGCTATTTATATAATTGTCAGTAGTTACTCTATAGTAAAGTCAAAATTTTACT